TGACAAACGTGAAACAAAAAATTGTCTTTACAAAACTTTTACAGTTTTTCTCAAACTATTTAATACAGCTAAAATTTCGACCACTTGACCAAAAAAAATACTATTTAATCACAAAATTCTATTGAACCACAAAATGCTATTAAATTAAAAAATACTATTGAACCACAAAATACTATTGAACCACAAAATACTATTTAACCGCAAAATACTATTTAACCACAAAATACTATTTAACCACAAAATACTATTCAGTATAAATACATCTTCAGTAAAAATCAGAAACTCCATCAAAGTAAACAAATTACCAGCGAATGTTTACCCACAATTTCTAACTTCATTACTGATATCGTCTTTGTTTGCGGGAGTGTAAGGGGGTTACGGAAAAGGGGTGCAGGAAGGAATGGAGCAAGAAGAATTACCCAGGAGGGGCATCGAATGCGTGAGAGGGGCTAATTACAGCCCGAAAAGTGAATCGGAGCTGCATAAATAACGGCATTTCCGGGTCGTTAATCGCCAGCGAGGAGTTTCGCGTGTTATCTGGTCTCGTCTGTCTATGTAGCTGTACTCGTAACGGCATTCAAATATACATGTATATATATAAACCAGTATAGTTTAGTCGAGATATAGTGGACCGAGTCGTCCGTGACAGAGGTGAGAGTCGAAAACGAAGGGTAGTTCACACTGGGAGAGGTTTAAACAGTGGCAAAAGAGGGGGAGAGGCGGGGGAGTTAGTACCAGAGTTAACAGAGATCGGGTAATTCTCTCTCTCTCTCTCTCTCTCACTCACTCTCTGAAACTCGAACCAAACTTGGACGTAATTACTCGCACTAAACCACCCCCTCCCCTTTACGTCTCGTCATAGTTATCTTCATCGCGACCTCTGCAGTTGCGAAATTGCCGCTACTTCCTTCGTTTGGCTAATCAGCAGCAGGCTTTCGTCTGTAAAGACAGTCAGAGGTCCAACTTATATAGCATATAGTGTGTGTATATATATTCTGTTCGGAGGCAAGAAATTCCACTTCCGTTTTCTAATATCAAAAATAGTGCTTTAAAATAGATTTCATTTTGAAGCAATAAGCAAACGACACTTCCAACATGTGCTCGAGGAATCTTTATACTTTTTTTATATTCAACATGAAAGGAGAACGAAACATGATGATCTAATTAACAGACTTTTTGGGAACTCGGAAAGATGTTTCGGATTCTCATTCGAAAGTTCACTTCTGAAAACTCTTTTCTTTCGGAAATTCTTTTAAAAAAAGCGAATTTTGCTTTGTCTCCTAGTCATTTTTTTTATAACACGGAAAAAAAATTTCGCTATTTTATAGAGAGAAACTGGTCCAGATGAAGCTTTTTTCAAATATTTAAAACAGCTATAACAATTCTCTTTTAATTTATATTTTAAAGAACAATAATCAACTCGTATATGATCAAATTGAAAATGATAATATCACGTGTAAACGTTATCGAAACATTCTCTAAAAGGTTTTTGCTATTATGCTACACGATATCGTTGAAGAGTGGACATATGCGTCATTCGAGATAATCGTGTTAAACTGATGTACATAATTAACACTAGTGCCGTAAATTAAAGTTGTTCCTTTCCTGTCAAAATCGCACCCACACGCTACTTGTAAAACAGGAAGAGAATAACCGTATGGTTCAAAAGAAAAAGGAAAATAAGAATTATAATAAACAAATAAAAAAAAAACGTCTAATTACACTTATGGCACACCGCGAACACCAAAAACAAAAAATTACGACTCACTTTATTTTATATCTCGTTCGTGATGGTGGTTTTAATTTTCTAACTTAACACTCGCACGTACTTGCGTCTACGTTGGCACTTTATATGCTCGCGACAAAGCCATGAGGCGGCGAACCACTGTTTTACAAGAGTAACCCAATTATATACCGACTCCAGTTCGGAGTTCGTAATTCTCTGGACTTTTTTTCTTTTCTTCTTTTTTTTTTGTCTACTCGAGCGATTGCAATTTCAAACGATTAAGAGTCATTTGAACCTAGAGAGTATAGGTACGTTTTTCACTTTACTTAAAATGTGCGCGACTCTAGCAGCGTACTTCTGTAATTATCTTCTATATAAAAGCAATTACATTTTTTCCCCTGGTTTTCAATATTCTCGAATTATTTTCCACTTGGTGTTTTTTATCTCCTCTGACAAAATTGGCCGAAAATTACCGAAAGTCAGTTTTGTTTATTATTATCAATAATTTTATTTTATCTATTTTTTATTTAATTTTGAATTAATTAATTTTGAATTTTTTCAATTATTATTTGCTTCATTTTTTTAAAATTAATTTATATTTTTTCACTTATTGTTTATTTAATTTTTTTACTTTTTAGTTTATTTACAATTCATATATTATTATTATTTAAGTATTTATTAATAAAGTAGATAAACTAGATAAGGGGAAACAAAGATCTTACTTGACATTCATTAAGTATTAGTTTTGAATTCTGCTGTTTAATTTATTGAGAAAAAAAAATCACCTTGGAGAGGAATCGAACCCTAGGCGCAAAATCTGTACGTAGGAAGCATTACCACTAGACCACTGAGGAAGGACAACTTTTTTGTTAAGAAAAAATTTCAAAAGTGAATTAAATCCAAATGGAAACGTCTACGAAAAACCAGCAAACAAAAAACTTTTTCAATTTTATCTGAAATTTAATATGGGAATAAAATTTCCAATGTTCAAATAGAATAATGAAAAAGAAAACGAACGTTTATAGTCAACATTTCTAATCAGTTCAAGTATAATTAATTTCTCATTGCAATTTAAAATTCAGTAGAGAACAAAAAATGCAGATAAAATAAAAAAGCAATAAACAAAAAAAATACCAGTAAAAAATAACAGAATAATACAAATAATAATAAATATAATAATAATAATAAAAAATAGTAAAAAGCAATTATAATAATAAAAATACCTAATAAATTATTTAATCAAATAAAGTAAACTAATAATAAACAATAAAAATAAAATGCACCTTTGAGAAGAATCGAACCCGAGACACGAAGTCCGCCGATCATAGCACGTTACCACTAGGCCACGAACCAAAAAAAATATTTTTTGCAACTTGAATATTCCGAATGGACTTTTACCCAAAAATTTGACCCCTGAGAGTTGGTACTTACACCGTAAGACTTAAAAACAAAAAATACTTTTGTACAACATAAATTAATTTCCAAATTGTAGTTTTAAAAAAAATTTAAAAACTGATAATTAATACAAATAATAACAGAAAACAAAATAGGAATTAAAATTTAGGTTTTTAATTTTTCTTCACTTTCATATGGCTAATATTAATTCCCCAACAAAAAGCCCGACACAATGAAAATAAAAAAGGCTTTCTAATAATGAGAATTTCTTCATTTTTGAGGTATTGCTTTTCATTTTTTTTCAACATTTTTTTTTTATTGTCAGAAAATAAATTCAGTTGGCGAAAGACGTATTTATATCCCCGACGCCAGTAACCAAGCACGAGAGAGGTATGTATTTCTCGGGCGAGTCGTTCGAGACATCTGTTGCTCGGCTTCTTCCCGCAACAAGACATTTGCATAATTATAATCTCTCGCCTTTTCCTACTGAGACGCTGTACGACTAAAACTTGCGGCACTTCCGTTCCCTCCTACCTCACCCTCCCCCCTCTCTCTCAATCCCTTTTAAAAAAATTTGCCTCAACCAACGGATGCATTAAAAAGCTTCTTATTCCTTCGTCCCTATTAATTCACATAATATCCCTTTTGCAATTGAAAATGTGGGGATCCAAGAGAGAATAAGACAGAAGAAAAAAAATAGAATGTAGAATAGAAATTTATTTCACAAAGGTCACTAGCAGCGACCGGTCCGCTCGCGGCCTTACATTTGACGTTTATCGCCACTCGTAAAAAAAAATTTATCTTCGTAACAGGTACGTTTCGGAAGAAAGAAAAAGATTTTTTTTTTCTTGAACGAAAAAAAAATTGGAAGTTCCTTTTTTTTAAAGAGAAGAAAAAAGAGGAGTGGGGGAATAGAGAAAAGATTCATTGTAACAGAAATTCATCGCCCCTGGTGGTATTTATATTCTCGTACTTCTCTCTGACACTTTAAGAGAAAATATAGTGGTACGAGTCGTTTGTTTACATTTGACAAAATATGAGTTTAGTTTCTTTAATCGTTTTTTTTTGCGGGAAGGAATATAAATTTTTTTTATGAATATTTTCTGAAAGCAAATGGTCCATGCGTTAATAAACGTCAGAGTTATTGAATTATAATTTTAATTTTCGTTTCTTTCAAAGTTTAAATTAAGACGAAAAAATTAAATAACAGAGACATTGACATTTAAACAATTATTTAACAATAAAACATTAGAACATTAATTTATCGAGAAAAGATTTAAAAAGACGAAAAAAAGAGTAGAAATTACTCTTGGAAAATTAATAGACAAGAAACTTATTTTCTTTGACTAGTGGTCTAGTGGTAATGTCCCGTAACTGTCAAACCTCGAAATCAGGGTTCGATTCCTGTCAACTGTCAATTTTTTTCCCCTCGTCTATTTGATTTTTTTTCTTCCTAATCTCTTGGGTAAAATAATTTCCCCACTTTAGAGTACTTTTCCTCTCGAATTTTTTACAAACAATTTTTTTTTCGTTTTTCTACAAAAAAAAAAAAAAAATGGGAAAAAATCTCTTTAGTTTAAAAGGACAATTTTTACTTCAAACGTGGCAGTTCAATGTTATAAGAAGACCATTTTGTGTCCTTTCGAGTTTTCACCTATAAAAGGATGACACTTTTCGTTTCGATTTGACGTGTCACAAAAAAAGAGAAGAGATAAAAAAAAATTCTCACTTTCCTCTGTGAGTTGCAAGGCTATTCGTGACTGCCACGGGGATTTGCTACGATCACCGGGTGGCACAGCCGTCACACAACTCTCGACAACATGGCAAAAGGGTATCTTTTCGTTTTTTTTTATTATTATTATCACCTACCTTTACCTTTCGTCCTGATGCCCTTTCGTTTTGCATCCAAGAATCACTCTCAGAAATCGATAATGGATCCACAGCCGTCGCCCGTCTTCTTTCTCAGTCCATTCTGCATGCATCATTTGACACTCGATTGACACAATGAGTAAAGGGTGTGGAGGAAAACTTTTGCGGCACTGACACGCGTTGCGACGCAAAAACTTTTTTTTATCTGCAAAAAAGAAAAGAGAAAATTTTATGAGAAATTTATTTATTTACACCGAAAAATCAAAGAAATAAAATAGTTGGAAATAAATTCTTATTTCTGATTCAAATTTTCAAAATGATTTAACCATTTTTTTAAATTCTGATAAGAATTCTTATTAAATTCAAATAAGAATTTCAATTCTTTTAAATTCTAATTCTAATGAGGATTTCAATTCTTTTAAATTCTAATCAAAAAAGGAATAGTTTTCAAGTTCTTTAAATTTGAATTCAAAAATTAATTTCTATTTCTTAGAATTCCAGTTTCAAAAAGGATTTCTAATTCCTTCAAATTTTAATTCCAAAAAATTCTTTTCCTCCCTCCAAATAAAATTGTTTCTACTTCTCAGTTTTCAATTCCTTTAAATTTTAATTCTCTAAAAATAATTTCAATTCCCTGGAATTCCAAATTTCAAGAAGCATTTCCAATTCCTTCAAATTCGAATTCCAAAAAATTCTCTTCTATTTCAAATAAAATTGTTTTTATATTTCTCATTTTTTAATTCTTTTAAATTTTAATTTTCCAAAAATAATTCAAAATTTTTAGAATTTTAATTTCAAAAGAATATATAATTCCTTCAAATTCGAATTCCAAAAAATTTTCTTCTTCTTCAAATAGAATTATTTTCATCCTTCACATTTTTTAATTCTTTTAAATTTTAATTTTCCAAAAATAATTCAAATTTTTTAGAATTCTAATTTCAAAAGAATATCTAATTCCTTCAAATTCGAATTCCAAAAAATTCTCTTCTACTTCAAATAGAATTATTTTCATCCTTCACATTTTTTAATTCTTTTAAATTTTAATTTTCCAAAAATAATTCAAATTTTTTAGAATTCTAATTTCAAAAGAATATCTAATTCCTTCAAATTCGAATTCCAAAAAATTCTCTTCTACTTCAAATAGAATTATTTTCATCCTTCACATTTTTTAATTCTTTTAAATTTTAATTTTCCAAAAATTATTCAAATTTTTTAGAATTCTAATTTCAAAAGAATATCTAATTCGTTCAAATTCGAATTCTAAACAAATCTCTTCTACTCCAAATAAAAGTTTACAATTCTAAGTTTTCAATTCCTTTAAATTTTAATTTCAAAAATATTTTCATTTCCCTAGAACTCCAATTTCAAAAAGGATTTCTAATTCCTTCAAATTCGAATTCCAAAAAATTCTCTTCTACTCCAAATAAATTTATTTCTACTTCTAAATTTTCAATTCCTTTAAATTTTAATTCCAAAGATAATTCCAATTCTCTATAACACCAATTTCAAAAACGATTTCTAATTCCTTCAAATTCGAATTCCAAAAAATTCTCTTCCTCACACCAAATAAAATTGTTTCCACTTCTAAGTTTATCCTTTAAAAAAACTATTTTCCCCACATCGTAAGAATAAATTCCGTCTCAATTCATTTTACGTCACTTTTTTCCAAATTGATTCATATCCAATCGATTCCAAAGAAATCCTATGGAAATCTTTATTCCCCTCTTTCGAATAAATTCGTGATCATAATTCTTAGTTGAGGATTGAAGACAAATTCATTGGATATAAACCCTTTGCATTCTGATTTCCAATCTGAATTAATCAACTTTATACATAAAGAAATCATATAATTTACAAATATAAATGCAAAAAAAAAATTTTTTGAAACTTTTTCTTATCTTTTTTCTGAAAATTTTTCTTCAATTTTTTATAATTTAGAATTTTTCTTTAAAATTATTATTATATGTATATACACTCTTCAAGTCATTATCATTGCTTGTCATATAAATATCAAAACAAAATGACAAAGCAGATACTCAAACTCGTTTTACGATGACAGGTCTTTTATATTTCTATTCACTCTCTTTGCCTGACGATAATCGGTCCATTCGTCATACCCAAGTTTGTTATCCCGCAAATGATTGGCCATTTTTGCCAAAGTGAAACATAGTTAGGAAAGCGGGGGGTGTGAGGGGGGAGGTTAAAAATGATGCCTCGTTAAGTCCCGCTATCAAAAAAAAGGAGAGAATAAATAATCTATATTTCCCCACTTTTTTTTACCAAGCTCCAAAAAAAAAAAAAAAAAAGATTTCTCTCCCTCGAAAACTTGACCAGAAAAATTGTGAGAAGAAAAAAAGAAAGAAAAGAAAATCGAAGTGATTTTCGTCGAGGATTCACTATTGCTATATACATTCTGTCAGAATGTATCGAGTCTTTCGTTATTTGTATTTCACGCGTTGACCCTTCTTCTCTACACCTTTTATGTACTATATATACATATACAGTAGAGAATGAGAGATAGAACTTTCTTTTTTTAGACGGCAAGTCTTAAGGGATTCCCAGACGGGATATAATTTTTCTTCTCGCCTTTAGGAGAGCATTGGTGGTGACCTCTCATTTTCTTCGATTCCTCCCCTCCCCACTATTTTTCTTGTTTTTCAAGATTCGCATGATCAACAATGCCAGTGATTTTTCTCTATATTGAATTTTTTCAATCATAATTTCCTTCTTTCGACACTTTTATATATATACTTATGAATTTGTTCACAAAAAGAATTTATGTGAATTAAAATCTTTTTTTTGAATTTGAATTAAAAGAAATTAGAAATTCTATTTTTTATTACAAATCGAATTTCTAATTTAAAATTAAAAACCATTTAAATCCTTTCTAGACTTTGAATTTCAAAGAATTTCAATAATTTTCAGAATTAGAATTTGAAGGAATTGAAATTTGTTTGAATTGCAAAGGAATTAAAAATCTTTTTAGGAATTAGAATCGAAAGAAATTGAAATTTTTGGAATTGGAATTTAAAGATATAAATTCGACTAATTAATTGAAATAACAATAATTTAATTAATTAGATTAATTTACATGAAATTAATTGAAATAATTAAATTAAATAACATTTAGAAATAATTGAATGGCTAAATTAATTAATTATTATTTTAATTAATTTAAGCAATTAAATAATTAAAATAGTAAAAGTAATCAAATAAATTAAACAGCATATAAAATTATCAAAAAATCGAAAACTAATCGCAGTAATACACATCGAGAATAGTGATTGAATGTCAAAATTCACGTATCACTGGGGAATTAATTCCAACAGTTGTGCGGCTTAAAGTTAATTATACCTGGATTAACTCCAATCAAAATTTAATTTAAGAGTATTAATATTAGAGATTACATCGCGCTTAATTAAATTTAGTGAAACTGATATATGTAAAACTATTAATTCAATGAGAGAAAATCAGCTTCTTATCTTGTTTCGTTAAAACGATAAAAATCTCAAAAAAAAACATAAATTCAATGTTTTTTTTAATTTCCTTCTAAAAAAAAAATTGTTTTCTCATACTGAAAATTCTCTTTTCCCAGACAACTTTTTTACGACACCAGTTTACGATCTTAAGGACACTTGTTTATTTTAGACCCAGTTTAAAAAAAAAAGATTACTAATCAATTTTTATTGGAAAACTTTTAGTTCAATTTACATAAAAATGTAGTTATATTTTTTTTCTTTCTAAATTTTTGAATTTCAACTTTGTCAGATCAAAGAAAAAGTATTAAGCTTAAATGACGCATATCTCTCGAGGTTTATTTTTAGACTCCTGGCTACGATTTTCGAGAACTAATTAACTTGTAACCCTAATTAATTTTTTTTCACATATATTATATTTTAATGTAGTGTATATTATAATTAATTAGAGAATATAATTAGAATTAATTAGAATTGTAGGAATTTGAAAATATCGGTGGCATTTAAAAGAATATATATGATTATTCAATTAAATTGATAAGCAGTTAAAATTATGAGTTAATTTAATAGATGAATTTTTTTTGCTGTTAAGTAATTATCTTTAGAAGGGAAAAAGTGCTCTACTAATCAGTCGTGACGAGTGATATCTCATTTATTACTCACCATTTATATTGTCGTGTGTAATGAATTGTTATTGGAGAAAAATTTTAATTTTCAAAATTATTCTTTCTTTTTTTTCAAGAATTTTCTCTTAAATATTTTTTCAAATAATTTTTAAAAATGGTTTTATAAAATAATACTCTTTGACAGTATTTGAAAACCAAAACTTTAAAACTAAACAAAAATACTTTTTGCTTTTATTTTCGAAAGTATTTTTTGAAACTATTATCAAAAGAACTTTTCTGTAACTATTCTTAAAAGTATTGTTTGAAAATATTTTCAAAAGTATTTTTTGTTTCTACTTTCAAAAGTATATTTTGAAACTATTTTCAAAAATACTTTTTGTTTCTATTTTCAACAGTGTTTTTCGAAACTATTTTCTGAAATACTTTGCAAAAATATTTCCAAGAATACTATTCGAGACTGTTTTCAAAAATGTTTTAAAAAATATTTCCAAAAATACTTCACAAAATTATTTCCCAAAATACTATTTAAAATTACTTTTTGAAACTAGTTTGAAAAATACTTTTCGAAGTTATTTCAAAAAGTAGTTTTTCTTTTTAAAACTATTTACAAAATTACTATTCAAAAATACAGTTTGAAATCTTCTTTAAAAATACTTTTCGAAACTTTTCAAAAATGTTCTTTGAAAATATTTCCAAAAGGTTTACAAAAAGACTTTTTTGAAACTATTTTCAAAAATATTTCTGAAAACACTTATCAAAATTATTTTTAAAAATACTTTTCGAGAACATTACCAAAAATACTTTTTCTCAAAAAAAAAAAAAATGTTAATACATATAACAGATAACTGCTTTTCTGCATGTTTAAAAAATTCTCGACTATCAAAAAAAGAAACTTGTATAATTATAAAGTGATTTCTTGAAATTTTTTTTTTTTGATACAAACTTTTGCATTCGTGGAACTTTATAAATATACGAGATACAGAAGTTTTAATTGAAAGCGAATCGTGGTCGTGGACGTAGACGCGCGAGCGCAAGCACGCAGTGATTCTCAGTCTAACTCAAAAAACTATATCAAATGGTTAGCTGGAATATTGGAATGTTGCCTCTTCTCTCTTCCATTCGAGCTATAAAAGGATAATAAATAGGCTTTAATTGAACACTGGGCGTCGATGTTTATGAGAATCGAATTCGCCAAATGTGTGCGTGCACGTTTCATTCTGCATTTGCCAGATGGTACATGTCGGTTCATTTCTAAACGCGAGAGCGCAAAAGGGTGGGCGGAATTCGCTTTAATAGATTTCCCTGTAGACAAATCCTAAACAGAAAATAGGGTCACGAGACTCCCTTTTCTTATTTAAAATTGTGTCCGACAAACGGCATATGGATTGATTCTTTAATTAGAGGCCCTTCAAAAAGTCACTGCAAAAATCACTGCGATTAGAATACTATTTCTTTTGTGAATTCTACATTTGTGTTTTTATTCTTTTTGTACCTCTTTTTTCTTCTTTTGAATTCAAAAACTTTACAGTTTTGCAATTATTTTCGTATTAACAATAATAAATAAAAAATAACCTGTCGGTAATACAGATTCCTAACTGAAATTTTATTCCCACTTTCGGAAAAAAAGAGTAGAGGCACTTTCCTCAGGCTCCGAGTACTCGAATTCTGTGAAAACTTTCCAAGTCTGATTCACACTTTACGAGGAAAAGCACTGAAAAATCTGCTCATTTGTCGGTAATACAGATTCCTAACTAAAATTTTATTCCCACTTTCGGAAAAAAATAGTTGTGGCACTTTCCTAAGGTCTTAATTACCAGAATTTGGTAAAAAATTTCGAAGTCTGATTCACACTTTACGAGGAAAAACGTTGACAAAACAACGTACGGAATTAATTCTGAAAAGAAATTCAGGAAACAACATTTTTTCCCTAACAATAGTTATTAAATAACCTCTACCCTGTAAACAAATCTAGAATATTAGATTTTCGACTGTAAAAGCAATAACAAACACTAGAAATGAAATCCCTTTTCCGGTGTTTGGCTTTATTTCTAATTAATTTTTCTTTTCGTGCGTCGAATTGATGCGCTGAAAATTGCACACACTGGGCAAAAATTTCTCCTCTCTCTTTCTCTCTCTCTTTCTTTCTCTTCGTTTTTCTTTTTCTCTCGTTTATGTATATACACTAGTCGAAAAATATTTGCATTCACAAACTATATACTATATATATACACACACACAGTAGAATTGGAGCAACGTTTGCCACTCGACTGCATGTTATACCCGTGTGCTTATATGGCTTGTGTATCTGTTTGCATGGATCTTCAGAGTACGTACATATTCACGATATTATTTTCGAGGGTGATGCGGTTTTCAATTGCCAAAAAAACGCTGTTTTTAGGCGTTATATGCACTTCTTCCTCGTGTATTTACCTATATATGTGTTCTCTTCACTAAAACCGCACGAAACTGTATATATAGTATTATATAAAGGACGTTGCTTGATGGATGAGGTCAATGAAATTTCCGCTCCATCTAGATAGTAAATTTCTACTTCTCTCTTTCACTCTGTCTCTCTTCTCTTTTTTTTATTTACTCTATTCCATTTTACACATTCATTCTCGGACCATTTATTTTGTCCGCGGTGGAAATAATTACAGTCAGTGTAATTTATTAATATTCTATTAAGTTATTCCAAAACATATTGGGAAACGAGCTTTTGATGGATGTGATGTTGAAGCGCGGTATTTTTCTTTTGAAGAGTCATCGCTGATAAATTGGGAATGAAAAGGACGTTAGTCCCTCACGCGTGTGGAAGATTACATTTTATTTAGGTCGTACCTTATCGGTTGAAATGAATAGAGCACTGTTTTTTATCGCCCTAACAGAGAGCGATTTTTTTAGCTTTCTAACATCTCTCTCTCTCTCTCTTTTTCAATGGAGAAGAATTTTTTTTCACTCTGTAAAAGATATTAAATTTCGAGGTGCAAAATTGAATTTTTTTTATCAGAAACTCTGTTGGGGTCAGTATTACTGTTCCTGACACTATCTCTACATTTACCAATATCACTGTCACTATTACTACTATTACTGACACTATTATTACTATTACTACTATTAGAGTTACTATCACTGCACATATTGACACTAATACTGTCACTATTATTATTACTATTTCTGTCCCTATCACTATCACTATTTTTGACGCTATTCCTGTCAGTATTGGTATAAACACTGTCACTTAGCGTGTGACGAAAAAAATTTGTGTATCCAAAACAAGTACAATTAAATAATATAAAAAATAAATACAAACTAATTGAATAATGTAAAATAGGTAAATAAGTGAAATAATTTAAAATAAACAATTGAACACTAAAAAATAAATTTTTTAAAGTGTTAACTAAAATATACTTTTCTTATTAATAAAATCCTCAATTTGGAATCAATTTCATAAAATCTTTTCCTCTTGTTTCAGGTGCTAAAAACGGATTCAATTTAGAAGACCGGAAATTAGTTTTGCTAAGGAGTGAAATAGGTAAGAAACTAATTAAATTCTTAAAATTTGATGTCAATTTTTTGAACGATGTTCGAAATTTAATTTTCAACAAAGTCTAATTAAAAAAAAGAATAAACGAAACAATAACCGTTATAGAATCACAGTGAGAGACATTGTCATCGAAAATCACTACACCATAGATAATAATTGACGATAATCATCATTTATAGAATTTCATGTAAAAAAAGATTAAGATATACGTTTTCTTAAAAATACCTGTCAATTAACATGTTCAACTTTTGGTAACACACAGGTGCTCACTTGTCGTTTTTCTGACAGAATGACATGTTATTTTTCATATATATATATATATATATATATATATATATATATATATATATATATATATATATATATATATATATATATATATATATACGCCCACATATACAAAAAGGACACACTTTTCAAATGGGATTTATTTTTAGAATATTTCTCTCGCTTTGAATTTCAGGTTTAAATTTTCCTCCTTCTCCTACTCTTTCCCTTTAACTATTCTTTCTTTCGCCCCAAAAGAGTCGGTATAGTATAGTGTCTTTTCTCTCTTATAATGTATACACAATTTTTCAAATGCTACAATGTTTCCCTTCGATCGGTGAAAAATTCTTTTTCCTTTGCCTTGTTAGTTGGGTAAATATACTATTCCCCTCTCTCTCTTCCCTCCGTCATGCCGCACTTTCTTCCCATCTGGAATAATAATCGAGGAAAAGTGCGGCATGTTACGTTAGGTGTAGAAGGACTGTCAAAATTTTCACTCACAAGTGACATTGGAACAATTAGAGAACAATGGGTCCCAATGATCGGACCCGATCCTAAACAAATAGGCTTAAGGTTGATCCGCATATAACGGAACTTGTATACCCACTATTCTGACATTCAAATCTCGACGTTTTGATTCCCTTTAGGGTCATGCGGTTGAGAGAGAGTGAAAGAGAAAAGGTAAGAAAAAAAATAAAAAGAATAAATAAATAAATTTAAAAAAATTAAAAACAATAAAAGATAAAGAGAGAATGAAGAAACGAGAATAAGAGAGGGAAATTAAAAAGAGAAAATAAGACAGAAGATTACAGAATGAAACACAGAATGACAGAATGAAAGAGAGAATGAGTGAGAAGATAACAGAATGAAACAGAGAATGACAGAAGGACAGAATGTAAGAGAGAATGAGTGAGAAGATAACAAAATGAAACAAAGAATGACAGAAGGACAGAATGAAAGAGAGAATGAGTGAGAAGATAACAGAATGAAACAGAGAATGACAGAAGGACAGAATGAAAGAGAGAATGAGTAAGAAGATAACAGAATGAAAGGGAGAGAATGACAAAATGAAAGAGCGATTAGAAGAGAGAACATGAAAAAAGAGCATGACAAAATAAAAATGTTAGAGAAAATGAAAAAGAGTGAATTACAGAATATGAGAAAGAATGAAAGAGAAAGAGTAACGGAATGAAAGCGAATAAGAGAGAGAAGATGAAAAAGAGAGAATGACAGAATGGAAATTAAAATAAAATAAAAGAGTAAATGACAGAATAGGAGAAAGAATAAGGAGAGAGAAAGAGAGAGAGAGAATAACAGAAAGAAAGCGAATAAGAGAGAGAAGATGAAAAAGAGAGAATGACAAAATGAAAATGTAAAACAAAATATAAGAGAAAATGAAAAAGAGTGCATGACAGAATAGGAGAAAGAGAGAGAGAGAGAGAGAGAGAGAGAGAGAGAGAGAGAGAGAATAACAGAAAGAGAGCGAATCAGAGAAAGAAGATGAACAAGAGAGAATGACAGTAGGGAAAACAGTGAATGACAGAATGAAGAAAAAAGAATAACAGAATGAAAAAGCGAATGAGAAAGAAGAGAGAATGAGAGAGATTAGAAGAGCGAGGAACAGATAGGAGAGGGGATAAGGTAACGAGTGTCGAGTAGCAACTCTCCTGCGAGAATTAAACCCACTTTCTGTTGGTGCGCAAGGTTCTGACCGGAATGAGACACCGTTGACCCTTTCACCCCTTCACCGAGCATAGGACCGGTCATCGCTAACACCAGAGCTATCTCTTTAGGGTTTATGGCAGACCATCAGTTGGCTTATGTCACCCCGAGATTACTACTGTGTTTGGCGAGAGGAAATTAACTGCACACTTCTACTATTTCATCCCTCTCTCTCTCTTACTCTCGTAAACTTGAAACGACCTTATTTAGGTTTCTTCTCTCTCTCTCTCCCTTATAAAATTCAAAAATTCCTGCAATTCAAATAAAAGAAAAAAGGGCTTAACGAAAAACGTATTTTTCCCTCGATTTTTTCTATAGAAGAAAGGACACAAATATTTACCGAGACGTCCTGACGCGAGTGGGAAGGAGAATACGATCGAAACTACCACTTGAAGTACTATTTTTTCCATATTTAGGTCGGATTTCAGGGGGGCCTTTATTGAGCCATGATAGGGCCAGGTCGAGTTCCTGACTAGTTTTTTTACCCTTAGGGACATTTTTGTACATATATATTTTTTTTGAAATTAAACAAGTATTACAACCCGATAAAGGCGATTTTGGCCTGTTTACAATTGCGTCAAGATAGGACCCCAACAGCGCCAGGTCAGGCCCTAATCAGGCCATTTTCCTATTCCAAAGTGGAACCAATTTCACGTATTTCCGAAATTTTTTAAAAATAGTACTAAGACTTTATTTCTACCAGACTACATTGTGGCATTTCTTAAGCCATTATACAGCCAGGTCGGGCCCAAATCGGGCCGAGTGTTTCATCGCCGCAATTGGAACCAATTTCGGGAATTTTTTTTCAAAATAGACACAAGGCCCTATTTTGATCCGACTACAAATTGACATTTTTCTATTGGAAAATAAGTATTCGGCTCTATGTTGGCCACAATAGAGCCAAGTCGGGCTCAAACAGGGCAGAGTGTTTTATTTCCAATTGAGATAATTTTCGAATACTTCTATACATATAAGGACAAGAGAGCAATAATTGGATCTTTTTCCAAATTCCGTTTCAGATTTTTTACAATTTAAATCTCCTGTATGCAATACTTAAACACGCTCGTCTGGATTTTTATAAGTGAAAGAATCCCGTCGTCAAAGAATTCTTCGACTCGGATGAAATTCGCTCATTCTTCTCCCTCTCTCTCTCTCTCCTTTTTCTCTCTTTCTCCTATAAAGAAGATAGTTTTCTCTCTCTCTCTCTCTCTCTTTCTTGGGAGAAACTTAGTCGATGAAGTTGAGAGAGAAAAGAGAGCGAGAGAGAAAAGAAGACAGAAGGAGAGAAATAGAGAGAGAAAGAAAAGAGAGCGAGAGAAAAAGAAAGAAGAGAGAGCGAGAGAGAAAGAGAGTGAGAGAAAGAGAGAGAAGGGAGAAAGAGAGTGAGAGAGAGAGTTCCTCACTCTTATTAGAGGAGTCTGCACAGAGTCTTGTGTTCCTCCCCTCTGTTTTTAACCTCTCATTCTTTTTTTTCTTCTTACACTCGTCCGCTCCACCTTCTTCGCCACCTCTCTCCTCTTTGAGTTCCTCCCCCCTCCCCCCTTGACGCTTGTTTCCTCACACCCATTTCTCACTCCACGTGCACCATGCGTGTAATACCGCCACGGCCGCTCTTCGCTTTTGCCTCTTTAACGGTGGCGCACGACTCGTACCAATAGAGGAGTGGGGGAGGTAAAGAGTACACCTTTCCCCCCTCCTGCCTATCCTGTAGTGTCTTAGTTCTTACCTCCTTTCCTCATGACGTGCACGAAAGAGGAAGTGGCAATGGAGCGTGCCAAGCAAGAGGTAAAATGTATATAAAGTCTCGTGTATATAGTAAAAAGACCACGCGACGACCTTCACGCTTTTGTGAATTCAATGGTTGGTTATATGGGAAATTTCGTTTTTTTTTTTAATTTAATATTTATCGTGGTTTTTGTGAGGAAATAAAAATTTCTTTCATTTTAATGTACCTTTTGGAAAAAAATTTATAAATAGTGTTTTTCCAATTTTTTTTTCTTCAAAATAATCAAATGTCATAAAATCCAATTATCCAATTAGGTCCAAAATTTCTACTCAACACATCACATTTCTAAACCAAACGAATGATGTAATTCTTTAAAACTCTTTATTCTCTCCCCTATCGTTATGACTAATTTCTCTTTATTCCAAAGTCAACAAATTTTTATATTAATTTCCCTCGAAATAGAAAAATTGTTTAAAACAGATGATGATATTTTTCTATTTTCAAAAAAGAAATGTATGTTTGCTTAAGAATAAAAATATGATCTGGGATAAGATTTCTCTCACTGGGAGAGAGACCCAGAGAGAGAGAGAAAAGAAGGCGTCTTGAGGAAAAATGCTTTCAGTTAAAAACCGTAAAGCTTAAAGGCTCTTAAAGAAATACTCTGATTGTTTGAATAGTTCTTAAGTATACTTAAATTTTCAAGTGGATGCGCTCACCTCGTGAATACACACAAAAAATGTAAATGTAAAAAAAATTTTCAATTTTAATCATGACTCATTATACAAATAAAACTGAAAGTGAGAAGTCAAAATCTTTGAAAAAAAAATGTAAACATGAAGAAAGAAAAATTTTTTCTATTTGAAAAATGATCTCTTAACTTTTTCTGTTCGTGTTTTTTTCACCTGGAGAAGTGATCGTTTAGTGATACATCTTACACCTGATTGATTGTACACCTTTTTCAACTATTTTTTTTTCTTTCTAACTGTGTGTGAAGAGATAATGTCAATTTGTAAACGTCTGGAAGTCACTAATCTGACAGGCGTTCGTTGGACACATATAGTTTAAAATGTACATATTGTATCTTTATTCTCAAATCTTGATTTTAACTTCTCGATATTATTATTATTCTTAAAATATTCTTGAGGGGTTGAGGTAGGTAGACATTTGGTAAATGGATAGGAGACAATGTGCATGAAGACTAACTTGTGTCGAGCAACGAAGCGTGTAAATGCAGACGTGTGCAATACTCTCTCTGTCTCTCTCTCCTTGTGCA